TCAGCAGGGTCTGCAATCAGCAGCTGGACTGTGTCAATGGGAGCGATGAGGAGCAATGCAGTGAAGGTAGGAAGGGGATGGTGCTGGGCTGACAAATGCTTCCCCTATGCTTGAGCCAAGGCTGTTGGTAGCATACTTCCCTCTTATGAGGTAAGGGCACCACCTGGGAGTTAACGTGCCTGACCTGCTCATAACGTTTGCTCTGTAGCGGACCAAGCTTGCTCAGGAAATTCCCTGTCATCATTTATGGAGTTCCCCCAAGCTCTCTGCTGCCTTTTTTCCCCCACTCAAAGGACTTCAGGCTGTGTTGCAACTTGCCACCCTCCCTCAGCCCTGGCTGCCCTTCCTCTTCGCAGGGGTCCCCTGTGGTCCTTTCACCTACCGCTGTGAAGATGGGACCTGTGTGAGGAAACCCAACCCCCTGTGTGACACCACTGCAGACTGCAAGGACCTGTCCGACGAGAAGCGCTGTGGTGAGGAAATGCTCAGGTGCACGTCAGCCAGGCAGGTACAGGATGCCACATAGCTGCAAGTTGCCCCCTTTTCCCCCTGCCACCCCAGCATAAGCACCCACCCTCCCTTGTTCCACCACCTTTTCCCTACCCCAGCCCTACGGCCGCAATGCCACAGCTCCATCCTGCAGTGGCAGCAGCAACAAGCCAGCTCTCTGTGCTGAGCTGCCAGGACGTGTTGTCTTCTCTTTGGACAGCTGCTCCCCATCTCCTTCAGGCAGAGGCATCAGGCCAGATAGACGTGTCTCACAGGGCAGGTCCTACCCACAGGTGACCTGTTGGACCACTGTTCTGGTTTATGTGAAGTAATGCCATCCTACAAGGCTCCAGCCAGAGAAATCACCCATGACTGCATGGTCACTGGCAGGGAGAGAGCTCGTGTTTTGATTTCCCTGCTTGGTGTTTCTGGCGCCTCAGTGGGCAACAAAAGGGAATGGCTGCAAGGATTCCCCGACAGGACAGCAGGTAGCACAGGCAGCATGCTGCCCCGAAGGCATCCCCAGGCTGCAGCTGGAGGTGGGGTAAGGCTGTGCAGGCATCAGTGGGGACATGCACTTGGAGGGAGTGCTCGCTAGACCTGTCCTGGGCAGTACATAAAACATCTGCTGGCTGGGTAAGGCAAGGGATTAGAGGTCAAACTCTTCAGTCAATTAAGTAGGAAAGAAAGGGCAGGCACAGTATATCACGTTCCCTTCCTCCTCTGAAGTACCTGCTGTGTCTCCTCCTCCTCAGACTGTGGGCTGCAAGCCCCTCTCAGCAGGATCGTGGGTGGTGCAAATTCTGTGGAAGGGGAATGGCCGTGGCAGGCCAGCCTGCAAGTTCGGGGACGCCACATTTGCGGGGGAACACTCATTGCTGACCGTTGGGTGGTCTCAGCTGCGCACTGCTTCCAGGATGAGAGGTAAATGGAGAGGGGAGGGTGCTGGACAGGAGAAGGATTTGCATCGCTTTCCATGTCACACATGATGGGAGGATCATCTGGCTTATTAAGATGTCGCAGGGCAGCTGCACCATTCATCTGGCACCCGTGCCATGCTTCCCTGTGGCTTGGAGCTGGAGAAAGGGGTATGGATACACACACGAGTATGTGGGTGTGCATGCAGGGAAAAAAAGGGAAGTGCTGGGATTCACAGAGCAGTTTTGAGAGGGCAATGGCAGTGGAACACAATTCACAGCTCCACCTTTGCTTTGGCTCTGGCTTGTCCCCATGCTGTCACAACCATGAAGGCATCAGCATGTGCTAGCATGGGGCCAGGATAGCATTACCTGTGGAAGCTGCTGTTTGGGTCCCATGATGCCCGTCTCCAGGGCATGCCCTTTCAGGGGGAAGCACGGTCTCTCCCCCAGTTCCTTCCACCCAGTGTACGTACCACAACAGCGCCAGTAACATGCAGATCAGGAGGGGTCAC